ATTCCGACTAGCTTATTAATATTCATGAGGCACGATAATTAGACGATCGCTTTCCCAGACGCGTTTGTAATACACGGTTTTCCCAGACGCGTTTCTGTCGTTGGGAATAATTTGTAGATCGCGCCTTATTTGTCTTCATTTTACAATATTATTATCATACAGTATTGAAAATGTTGTTTATTATCTAAAAACAAAAAAAATTCAACATATTGTAGGCCTAATCCTACCGTCCGTTGAAACGCAATCACGATCGCATCGTGACTTCACTACTGACAAGTACTGTACATCTGTGGAAAATACCTGATAGATCATTCTGGGCATGTGCATGGACAGTTTTGAAGCAGCCTGTAATGCTGTAATGATACGATCGTAGCTTTTACGAAAGTTCCCATGCCAAAGATAACGATAAAACTAACTCTAAAACGAAATTTATTCGGCAATCTTCTTATGTAAAACATAATATTATACTACACTATTAAATTAATACAAGTACGATCATTCTTTCACCAACAATGTATTGATTTAAGAGAAATTAACAAAATCACAATCTGTAGATGACGATGTAAGGAGCGTTCGGAAAAATCGTAGTTTATAATATATTGGCCTAGGTAGTAAAAAATTGCTGAGGCTGCCAACCTCGGAGAATTTAATTTTTTCCTAATTTCATGGGCTAATTTATATAGCATAAAAAGTAAGACATCAAAAAAATGGATAAAAAAAATAAGCAAAAAAAAATTTTTTTAAATCACCAAGCTAGCACCCAAACCGAAGTATGGGGTTAGACCATCACCGCAATGGAGATCTCTTGTTTATGTACTCCAGTTAACGTCAATTAAATGTAAATATACAATCCTATTACTTGGCAGTGGACTTTTGTAGTTTAAATTCAGTCTTACATATGTCTGAGTGCCCTTTATGAAATGCAGTGTGCTAGGCTGGAAAAATCTGGGTTTGCATTTAGCACATATCTCACAGCTAATGGTGATTTTCCAAACTTCCTCCACAGAAAAAGGATGGTTTTTGGATTTATTGAGGTGGCACATTTATGTTGCTCCAGGGTAGCATAGCAGTGAATACATAATCTTCTTGCTCTGGATCTGGCTTAGGAACACCATTTCCAACACATACCCCAATATACTTTGTGACTGCACATAATGCTCTTGCTCTCATTGAAACTATGTTCTTTTGTTGTGTTGCTTCAAGAAATGCTTCCTGATTTTTCATAGATCTTCATCCAAACTGCTAATAACACCATCCAATAGGCAAAAACTACTTGAAAATTGTCTATAGTTCCTTGGAAACATTTTATACGATTGTCACTCCAAATGGAATGCTAAACTGGTACAGAGAACCATAATCCTCAAAAGCCATATACATTTTCCAGACAACCACAATGGCTATTCAACAATCCAACTACAACCTTCCATCTCCAGAGGCGGATTTAGGGGGCCCCCCCCCCCTTTTGGGAGCTAAAAAAAAGAAAAAAGAAAGAAAAAAAAGAAAGAAAAGAAAAAAAGTGATAGCTCACAACGCCTCAAATGTTATTTTCGGGCCTCTAGAGCACAAAAATTTCGGACCCCCTAGGACATTGTTGTCTCGATCGGCCCGAATTTCGGTCCCCACTTTCGGCCCCCCCTTTTGGACATCTCTGGATCCGCCCCTGATCTCTACTGGTATGCAACCCTTGTTCGTTAAATAACAAGATGGATGAATTTAAATCGATGTTGCTTGATCAACATATTCACATTGCATGTGTATCAGAAACGTGGATAAATGTTAACAACTCTGATGACCACTTAAAAGTTGATGACTACAATCTTTTTTCAAGACCAAGAACCAACAGTACACATGGTGGAGCTGCAATATATGCCCATGAATCACTTCATGCCGAAATAGTGAACTTTGATACATCCACCACTAGCAACCTTGAACATGTATGGATAAAATTAAGACCCACGCGTCTACCAAGATCAATATCATGTCTGTATTACTGCGCAGTTTATTCACCCCCTTCTCAAAACGACGACGACTTCCTTACCATTTGTCTGCAAAAGATAATTGAAGACATAACTACAAAACATCCTGATGCTGCAATTGTTATAGCCGGTGACATGAACAGAGCAAACATCACAAGACTGCACAGGGAATTTCAAACAAGTTGTTAAGAAACCCACAAGACAAACAGTTATTCTTGACAAAATAATAATTACAAATACTAACTATTTTATTTTATTTATTTATTTTTTTTTTTTACTATTTTAAAGCACCGCAAATTTTAGCTCCACTTGCTAACAGCAACCACAACATGATCCTATGGCTACCATCTACAATTGCTATTCAACCGAACACTACATATCAGCATGTTGTGAGACCAATCCGCAATTATGCAATTCATGAGATGGGCCGCTGGATAGTTTATCATAACTGGAACGAAGTTTTAGAGAAGAATTCTGCCCAAGAAAAATGTAATGCAATGTATGAAACGCTTCAAAGCAAGATTGACAAATTCTTTCCAACAAAAACCGTTAAGCACCACACTAAGGACAAACCTTGAATGACTATGGAAATCAAGGCTATGATAAAAAAACGTCAAAAGTATTTCACAAAAGGAAACGCCCTTTGGAAAAAACAAAAACCAACGAGCCATCAATTCTGCCAAAATGCACTACTACAACCACCGTATAAGGAATCTGAAAGCAACTAACCCTGCTGGCTGGTACAAGCAAATTAAACTACTAACCTCAAATGCAAATACTGTACTAACACAACTATTAGAGCTCACCAAGAGAGCACTCAGGATGTAGCAAATGCTATCAACAAAGTTTTCACACAAGTTTCAAAAGACATTCCTGCTCTTAATTTGACTACATTTCCCTCCTTCCTACCATCTTCACAACCTGTACCTATTGTTTATGAATAGGAAGTTTATGCAGAATTAAAGAGCATTAGTATCAGGAAAGCTTGAGGTCCAGATTGTATTCCAGCACTAATAATTAAAGAATTTGCATACGAACTGAGTACACCAATGACCAGTATACTTAATGCTTCTTTCCATGAAGGCATCGTTCCACATCAATGGAAGCAAGCAATAGTAGTGCCTGTACCCGAAAGGTGACCACCTACATGGAATAAACTGAGACCAATTGCCCTTACGGACCACTTTGCTAAAGTAGCAGAAAACTTTGTACAATGACATCCAACAAAATCTAGACCCAAATATTTTTCTTAATTCTGCTTTTGTGTCCTTTCCCAGGCTCTGGGAAGAACTACCTCCTCTACTTCAAAACTCTGTTAATGTTTCCTGTTTTAAGAATAATTTAATTAAGCATTTTATTTCATTTTATGTTTCTGATTAGTTCTGATTGTTTTTGTGTATTTCATTTTATATGAAGGATAGGGAGCAAATATTGTTCGGGCTTTCGCCGATTCCCTATCAGGGCAATTTATGATGTTTTTCTCCTATATGTTTTTTGCCAAATAAATATTATTATTATTAAATATTATTAAATCAATATGGAAATCAAAAAAGCCGTATATTCCGGTGTATAAGCCGCAAATTTTATACGCGATTTTCCCCCCGAAGTTTAGGGTGCGGCCTATACACCGGTCATTAACCAAGTTCAGATCGCGAACCACGACAAAAATCGGGCGCCGTCTGTCTAGGTTAGGCCCACACTAGCCCAGTTAATTAGCCTAGGGTAGGACCAGTTTTTAGGCCTAGTATTTGTAATTATACTCACTACAGTGCTGTGCTAGGATTCCTACTACATTGGCAATGATTTGGGTTGTCTTTCATAATTACGTTCACTCGTAAACAATTTTGAAACATGCTGTTTCTGTTCAAAACCGCTTCGGTCAACAAACAATAACAAACTACTTTTCGGGAGTTAATTGGCTTCATTTTCGATGTCGCAACAAAACACACGTGGGCTGGTAAAACTTGCTGTTCGACGTCTGGTTCCCGGTTGCTTGTACCGTTATAGAGAGAATATTGATCGCTATAATTTTAGAATAAAAACTTGTGAAATTAATTTATGCTATAAAAACACGAGTTTTCTTGAAGTTGTAATAATTATTTTACTGGAATTTAACTGTAAAAAAGGCATACATCATGGGCATGCGTGAACTCCGTATCCACGATATTTCTCCAGTTCTGAGTTTTGTTTATAAAACGTGGTGCATGATGGCCCATGCTTCGCACAGTGGGCTGTGAGTTAAATGACTTAGGCCTACCAATAGGAATTACCAATATTTTTAGCCTAATACCGACTGTTATTAGTCAACATAATAATAGAATGATTGTTTAAAATAGATAAATATACTCAATAAGTGTTTTATTTTATTAAACTTAAACTAAACTGATGTTGAAAATTTAATGTAGCACGACCGTCTAGCAAAAAATGGGGATTTCCCTAGGGCCGGCTGCCTAGAGCAAGAATACATTGTTAACATGGCGGTAGCCAGCAGTTTACACGCATTTCCAGTTGTTTGTCGTTTAATACTTCGGCCGAAAAAGATGAAAAAATTTCTTTATGTGAACATTTATAAATAATGTCAATGTTTCAAAGTAATTAAAAACTTAACATTATGGGAATGGTTTGGAGCTTAAAAATAGGTGCGGCTTATACACAGGTGACACAAAAAATCGTGATATTCGCGTCCTAATTTGGGGGGGGGGCGGCTTATACACAGGTGCGGCTTATACACCGGAATATACGGTACTTCGACTACACACTATTTAATACAGCTAATTGACAATTTAACTAAGCATGCAGAGAAGCCACATTCAATCAGTACCATGGTAATCACACAGACTATAGCAAAGCCTTTGATACCCTAAACCATAACCTTATAATCAAGAATATGTTGAATCTTGGACTTAGACGTGAAATCATTCCATGGCTTTGTAGCTTCCTCACAAACAGACAGCAGAGGGTACGATACAAGGATGCTGTATCAAACTCCCTAAATATTCATGCAGGTGTCCCACAGGGTACAAAGCTTGGACCCTTTGTTTCTTAGTGCACATCAACGGAGCAATGAATGATCCGGAGTACTTCAAATCAGATGAACCAATTACATACCTCAAATATGTTGATCACATGACCCTTCACGAACTACAGCCAAAAATCACCTTCTAACCTACAGATAAAATTGAATGAACTCAGTGAATGGTCAGTGGACAATAATCTGAATCTGAACCCAGAAAAATGTGCTACTCTCCACATTGACTTCGCAAAATCTATTCCAAGAGTGTTAAAAATAATGTTAAGATACCTGGAGTAACTATAAGCGATAATCTCAAGTGGGATGGACACATAAATGATATTTTTAACAGAGGAAATAAGAAACTGTATATGCTTAAAAACTACTCAAGAAGTTTAAACTATCATTAGATGATATGTTGACTATTTATAAAGGATATATAAGATATGTTATTGAATATGCCGTTAACTTAACTTGCAAACATGTAGCTCTGTTGAGAGCCTACAAAAGAGAGCACTCAGAATCATACTTGGTGACCCCTACATTAATTATAATAGTGCTCTAATATTGTGTAACATAGAAATGCTGGAGTGTAGAAGAAACAAATTATGCTTAGAATTTGCTCACCAACTATGCAAATCACCAAATTTTACATCCTGGATACCTGCTCAAATAGACCACCAATATAGTTTGAGAAAGAAAAATCAATTCAACCACCTACTTTCAGAATTAATAGATACAAGCAAAGCCCAATTTCATACCTCATTTGTATCTTAAACCAGCAAAATACTTACGACTTCCATTATCTACTTGAACCTCAATATTAACATTAAGCCCAGATTAATCGGTTCATCCTAAACCTAAATCAAAGTTTAATTTTTTAAATTAATATATTTTTACTGTTGTGAATCTTTACCCTTATATTTTGAATTTATATATAAATGTTGTTTCGTAATCTATGTGCAATGTATAGACCCAGGTCTATTTTTTTTTTGTATCATTTGCAATTTAGCTGCAAAGATACAATGATGATATTTTGAAATAAAACTTGAACTTGAACTTGAACTGTATAGTCATTTAACTGTAGAGGAAGCTGATGATACAGTAGGTGCTTTAAGGTCAAATACGCAGAATACCCAAGATTTCCTATCTTATTTAATACAGTCTCATCGATATGGGGTAGTGGAAATATCTGATTGTGTAAAATGTTTTATAGTTTGCAAAAAATAAATGACTAGCCTTCATTTGTATAAAATACTATCCAACCAGGCAGTTTATAAACACAACACAAGCCTTTAATCATTGTTATTGCTGCGAAGCAGCCAATTCATATTCTTGACAGCAATTTGACCTCTGAAAGGTCATTGTTTGTCAAAAAACCTGCGCCTAAGACAACTGAGAAGCGGAGTTTCCTTCTTTCGTTCTGCCGACGCTGGAGTACTATTCAGCGTTTTTACTATATTTCTAGGTTTCCTATTTCTACGTTTAATCGGCTCATGTCTCAGCCACAATATTTTGAGGCCAATATTATTTACGAACCCAGTTAAACTTATTTACTAGCCTATTACAACGTGCTGATTATTACATTTAGGCGACGCTTGTTGTAGACTGGCATACTGTTTTCGGAAATAAATACCATTTTATACACATGCGCAGATCGATTCGCCAGCAGCAGCGAGTCATAGCCAGCAGCAGCGAGTCATCGCCAGCAGCAGCGAGATGTCACTGCAGCAAAACACTATTGTACACGGTACCAACGCTGTTCTATATATAGACAGTGGGTCGTGTCTCATATTGTTATATTTTTATTATTCATTATTTTCACTTGACTCGCATAAATAATTTTGTTCGAAGAACATTTTATACAGTTTTACTTCGCAGCACTTCACTTGCAATCTGCAATTTCTAGTTGATACTGTTTTCTATTTAACCATCAATGTAGCAAAAATTAATTTTGGCCGGAGCCAGAGTTGAGTAGCAAGGCATTGGCACTTCTAACTAAAGCCTTAACATGGTTCACTTCAGTTCCTCTCCTTTTGGAATATTGTGAACTAACCACCTTTCTATTACTACTGATATAATCATTTACGTTATCTTTTAAATTTATTGTAAATTTCAGAGAGTGTGCATTAGCAGCATTGATTGATGTAGCTGAGTGGCTGGAAGGGGATGGCGAAATTGCTGTGAGTTCAATAATAACAACACCCATAACAGCAACAACAATAATAGCAACACCAATAAGAACAAAACATTAATAACTAGACTTACTATGTCTGAACAGAACATAGGGCTTTTCCCCATTGCTTTAATGAGAAAGTCGTTAAAAGGTCCAAAAATGGAATGACCTTCAAATTTACACCATTGACTGGATCGTCCCCAACACATAATAATTTCTTCCTTGTAACTTTGTTAAACTTTCTTGAAAGTTTAATTCAGATAATTTGACATGTTTTTGAAATACGTCAACTTTGAGCGATGTGCTAATTCAATATTAAAATTGAAAATTGTTTATGCATTTCAATTTTTTTGCGTACGTAGTAGCTGGTTTGAAACCTTTGCAAAACGAAAATCGAATTTACATGGAAGTTCAATTTCTGCTTTATCAACATTTAGAATGACAAAATACTTAAATATGCTCATCTTTAATATTGTGTTCGTCACAGAAATTTAAAAATGTCTTCATTTTAACTTGGTTGAAATTTCCATGGCAGAAATAACACAGAAAACCAAAACACAGTACAGTAGTACTAAACAAATTATGAAGTTGAAAAGAAAAAAAAAAAAACTACGAAAACCAAGTACACCGCAATGGTAATATCGAGGTACATCGTGACTCATAACCATTGCGCGCTATATGAGCTGACCTTGCATAGGAAAGTGTATCAGTTCATTGAAATTCAGTGAATGAAAGCAAAAATTGTTCATACATATCCCGGTAGTTTTGAGTTTAACCTAGCTGTAACTAGTTTAAGGGCTTTAGAAAATGCAAATTGTTTTGTTTTAAAAATATTTTCACACTCACTCCTCTTCAAACTAGGATACATGGACAGCAATGTTTATTTTGAATTATTTTATTGACGATATTTCAAATTCCTTGTAACTTTGTTAAACTTTTTCCAGATGTTTCATTCAGATCAGTTGAGCCTTTTTCGAAATATGTGGTCTGGGACGTTTTCCTTTAAATGGTCCTCAGATCCACACCATACTGCGGATCATCACAAAAATTTAATAATTTTTTTACCAGACCCTTAAAAAGTATTATAGAATGTTTCATTTGGACCCATTGGTGTTTTTTAAAGAGATATTTAGGCCAGGTCCTCAAAAATTGAAAAGACCCTCAAATTTACACACCCTTCACTAGATTGTCACTAACGCATAAAAATTTTTAAATTGTAACTTGATTAAACACCCCCACCTTACCTGTAATTATTATTATTAACATAAGCAGTTTACACACTGCCGCGAGAGGGCCTGACTCGCATGATATGATGCACTTCCGGTAGCATATACAATTCTGTAATGCAAATTACGCTAGCTGCTCATGACGTGTACAACTGCATAGAGAAATTTTACCATTTTCTTATCATTCAATGCTGATAAGACATTGCTGATATGAGTAATTGCTTATGATATTGAAGTGTTAATCCTTTAATCCTATTACTGGCTCTATAGGCAGTGTAGATCATTAGCCATTAAAAACGTCACCTCCTATAAAGTGTTGTACTCTGAATTTTAGTTAAATCATTTATGTTTTAAGTGATATTAGAATCAGTCATCAGGCCAACATCCTAAGTGTGTAATTCGCAAACACCGGTGGACCTAACTATAGACCGACATTATTGCTAAAGAAAGATTCATCAATATTTTACTATTTCTTCAAAATAAAGATCTAAATATTGAAGAATAGACATTCAAAGTAAGGCAGTGTTACACGCTGGCCTAAATAAAATCTGCCATGCCTATCATTAATGCTACACTGCGGAATGTTTACCTCACATTTTTGCTAGCCATTGGCATTTAGGCCTGCGTAGAAAGATGAAGGTCCTCCGAATCGAGAGACGTATACTGTATTATTGTTAAAAATTTAACATGTTTAAACAAATCTCAAATCTGCTTTATTAGTGATAAAATAATTATAACGACGGAGATAACCGATTAATATGTGCTGTCTTCTTTTACTCGAAATAAACCTGAACTCAAGAGCGAAGCTTGCATCAAAGAGTATAAAACTGCAAGAGGTCCGACTGCCCTTATTTTGTATACAGGCAATGGAACGTTAAAAAAGTACTCCCACGAAGGGGCGTGTCCTTCATAAGAACGTAAAAGGCATTCGTATCGAACGAGTGCTGCGTTTCGAATTTCAGCATACATTCTAGACACGCAGCACGCGTTCGATATGAATGCACTTTACGTTCTTTTAAGGGCCACGCCCCTTTTGGGTAGTACTTTTTGAAATAGGATTCGTTCCAAAGAATCCCCGGCAGTCGGAACTCTTGCAGTTTTTTACTCTTTGCTTGCATGTTCACACAACACGTGAGTGCGAGTATTGGACGATTTGGAACCGTCCATTTTCTAACGGGGTATAATTTGCTTTTTAAGTACAATAATACACCTGTAGATTTGAGAAATTATTTATTATTTCTGATTACATACTTAATGTAGAAATATTTAATCCCAACATGATGGCATGCATTTTATTACTTATTATACTATCTTATACGCATGATGTACGAAAAATTTTCACCGCATATACAATGGACTTGTTTTATGCATGAAATCCACATAAATTCAATTAATAAAGGTTGTTTTATCAAATTATATGTTTATGCTTTAGTTGCATTCAACATCAAGTCTTCGTGTGTTTTGTTTGAATTCCAACTCGAACGTTAATAATTAAAATCGGCCTATTGGTACTCGTGCTTCATAGAGTTGCTAGTCTTACAATACAGACATTTTATGCCGTTTAATTTAACAAACTTGAAGGCTAACTGTGTGCCAAGAGTTACTACGGCTGGTATTTAAAGACTATGAATGCGAATTTGTGTTGTAAACATACCGTGAACCAGGCCTAGGCTAGGCGTCTAGAAAAGTAAAAGGTACGTTAAATAAATGAAATACTTAAGATTCATCGTTATTACAGATATAGATATTACATTTTTCTTTCTAAAACGAGGAGCAGCATTTTTTAATCGGGTGACATGTCCAAAAATCGCGATTTACTGCCTCGAATGTTGTTAATTTCTTAATTGAAATTTCTCAACGAATGGAGTAATGGGATTTTGAAGTTTTTCAAGCTGGTTACAAATACAAATACGGTTTTTAAAATGTTATATTTTAACAGTAGTATTATTGTGAAGTGTGTAAATTGTTTCCTTGTTTTAAGTCCCCTAACCAGACCCAGTCAGGAGGTCTAGTAAGGACCGTTAACTACTGATTTTAATCAGTGTAATCCTTGGCGGCCTGCTGAGTTTATCAGGGATTAGTAGATCTTGGTTGTTACGTAACACCCGGAGTTTGGCCTCAAACTGTGGGTGTATTTGCAAAAAAGCTCTATGCAGTTGTACATGTAATGCTCATTCTCACTCTATCCACATTCTTTGCTAGTATCTATTATATATTAACTAGTCTTAATCATGTACACAGGTATTTGATGCCACAAATACAACTCGAGAAAGAAGGAAAGTTATTATAGATTTCTGTGAGAAGCATTGCTATAAGGTAGGCTATCTTATTTCTATACAGTCTTTGATTCTCAGCAGAAAAAATGTTGTACGAGAAGAGAAAAAAAATATGATGACAAATATAAAGAAGCCAAAAAACAAAAGTCAAGGTGTACTTAATCTTTTGTTAAGAACTGGGTCAACAAATAGAGTGGAAGGTACTGGAACCAACTAAATTAATAAATGAAGAGTGTGATAAATTAGAGAGAGTAGCTTGACTTACGTGAACCCTGCAAGGAAGCAGAGAGGGTTTGAGGAAGGAGAGAGAAATGGAATATTCAAAAACAAATACTGCAGACATTAGGACAAAATATTGTCATTGCTGTTATATTTTTTAAAGACCCAGCGGTTGCAAGTTAGAAGGAACCACTTACTTGATGATAGTCAAAAAATGTAAATATAATGAATTTGTGGGAGATGGTTGGTTTCCTCGAGATTTTTGCTTTCTTGCGGGAGTGCAGGAAGCTGTCTCGGTTTTTGGGAGACTCCCATGAAGTGCAAGGGACTTGGGAGACTGTATTATGAAAAACATGACAGCTTTGGCAACTTTCATCACATCAGAGCTTCAATTCTCTAGTCATCACAAAGCTTCATCATCCCATGAAAAGGAATAATTTCATCCTATTTAATCTGTTAATCTCCGTGTATAATACATATTGAAGCAATTGTTGTCACAGTGAGGTTAGTAATTCTTATTGTTGTTATTCTTTATTTAATCTCTACTACCTTTTGTGTATATCTGGCTTGTGAATTTTGCATTGTCATTTCATTGAGGAAAGAATTATTGGTGAACTTTTTCCTTGAATTGTTCTGTTTTTATACCTATATAAATTTGCTGACATCACCGTGAATACTTCACTTATTGACATCACAGTGAATTGTGGGTTTACTTATAGATATTTCCTGCTTTCTTATCAACAATATTAACCTTCACCCCCTTTTTGTAGAAGGAACCTTAAAATTAAAAAAAAAAAAAAATCCAATCTCATCATCTGAGGGGTCTGTGATATCACAGTATTGTGTAAATTATAAAATTCTGCTCCCTGAATTTGCAACCAAACATTTTTGTAGGATTCCGATAAATTGTGACATTGGTGTTTGTGTCATTATAGTGATGTTAAATGCTACATCCAATTTCCTAAAAAAAAAAAAAATGTAAAACATCATTTGATTTGTCCATTTTATTCTGTAGTACGAGAGCAAATTTCTGTAGACTTGACACCAGTAAGATAGCCTAGACTCAGGCCCACTTGGTAATGAATAGCCTACAGTAGTCTCAGGCCTACTTGTTAATGAAGACAGACCTATGGGTTTCCTCTGCTCCATGCAAGAGAGGCAGTTTGGATAATCACATGAGTGTAGTAACTATGGTATAGAGAAACACCTTGTGGTAATTAGCCTTCCTGAAGGAGCGAAGCTCTGGTGAGGCTATTGTTTTTACCCATGTTCTTCTTCATGTTCTCCTCGTTTTTGGTTGTCGTCGTCACTGTTGAGCAACTTGTTTGTTACTATGTTAACTCAATTTTGGTAATTTCGATTGGTTTCAACCGTGGCAGAATGCAAGTTATTAATAAGAAGACGGAGCCTATTTTTTTTGGTACATATTTGAATATGCTAATTAATTGCATAATTAATACTTCACTGATCAGGAAATTTACAATAAAGACCATCATAATCACCATAAAAGATTTTATACTTAGCCTATTATATATTGTAATATTTTCTGCCTTTACATTAAAAAAAATAGTGATTCAATTCGCATTTGAAATGAAACTTTCCTTAATATTTTTTTTTTTTTAATGAACCTTTAATAACGGCCTACAAAATTTGCACTAAAACTCAACCAGCAACCAACAATTCTTTTTCTGTAGGTAAGGTCAGCAATTTTTTTTCTGTTCAGCCCATAAAGCCATCGATCATGGTAATACACAACAAAATGATAGTGCACTTTGACATACTTCTTAAAGTATACGGTTTGTTAGTAAATAGTACTTAGCCAGCCTAAATACATGCCAGTCAATATATGATTTAAATCCAATGATTTCCTTATATGATCTCATAGTTTCATCTGGTTTTGTAACTGTATAATCCAATTATTTTTACATACGTAGACAAATATTTGATGTTACTTTAAGACTAGCTTTCATCTTGTAACCTAGTCCTCTATACAGACCTTGCGATCAACGGGTGTCAGCTAACTTATACCCAGGCCAAGTTCTACTCATTCAAACTCGTACCTACTTTGGCGAACCTGTGTCCAAATTTAGATAAAGTTTTGCCCAACATTGGCCCCGACATTGGCTAACTCGTACCTATGTTTATTTGTACCTTTCCTTGCTATAGCTCGAAAAAGAGGTTATATGATGAGGTGATTTTTAATTACTTTTCTCCAAAAAATACTCTTGCCCCAACCAAGTTGGGGGCCCACACATCTGGGCCCCACCTAGTCTCTCTCCCCCTCCCCCACCCACAAAAAAAAAATCACACTCAAGTATTATTATAAATCACCTTATTTTGTGAGCTAGTTCCAACTCACCTAACCACTTGTTAGTGCTGGTCATTACTAGATGTGTATAAGACCAAGATATAATACTCATCCTAAACACAAATTGAAAATGCTTATATATTTTTAAGAATACAAAGATTTTAAAATTGCACCGCGGGGAGGTTATGCTTTTACTGCATAACGTAAAAGGAGTAATTCTAGTTTGAAAATGCAGTGCTTGGTAAAAGTGATAAAGAATATACTGTATAGTGGAAAATTTTTAATATCATCTTTGTCCTTGAATATTTTGTAAAAGTTATTCATACTTGCAATTTCAGCCTTTTTTCATTGAGTCCATCTGCGATGACCCTGAGATTGTCCAATCAAATGTTACGGTAATTCTTGGTTTTCAGTGGCTATTCTTTGCAATCTTAAAAAAAATTTGCAATATATTTAGTGTTCATGTTAAAATGTTTTATTTTAATAAATACACTGTGATATTTTTCATTAATTTAATATTGACTTATTTCGCTGTTTATATATTTTTTTCAAAATATTAGTAATATTTCCTTTTTTGATTTAGTATTTTTGGGCCTTTGAGCTATAAGGGCTATAAAAAATACATCAAAATATATGCATATTGTTATAGTCAATAGGCAAATAGTGTAGTTAATAATTAGGCCTATTATTGCACAAAGTGCTTTGGCCAGAGATGCAGTCAATATTACCAACTTTGTAATTGAATTGCGATCCTCTGCGAGGAATCCCAAAGCATTACCATTCATGAATCAAATGTAAAATTTATTTGAAATTAATCACATAATTTTCTTTTTATAAAAGGAAGTAAAACTGACAAGCCCTGATTATCAGCAGGTGAATAAGGAGGAAGCAATGAATGATTTTCTACAAAGGATTGAACATTACAAAGATGCCTATGAACCCCTTGATGATGAACTTGACCATGATTTGTCTTTCATTAAAATTATCAATGTTAGAGATAGATATCTGGTTAATAAAGTAACAGGTAAAATCAATTTTTATTAAAACTGTATTGCTTGTTTAAAACCTAATTGTTTATATAATGTGCCAACTATATCATTCTAAAATTATTATTATAATATTTTGGAATAAATTCATCTGGTTTCTATAAATTTTGAGAATTTTCTTTGTTTAGATCAAAATTGAATAGTGTAAAATTGTAATGTTTCAGGTGCAACATCATCTATCCTTTAAGGCATAGCTGGTCATATTTCCAGGCTCTGTATGCGGTGAAGAGGGGATGAGATTTTGTAGTCAGAGTTGAAAATGGTAGTTTTGATTTAGTCTATTTCCAGCTGTTTAGTTCCTATGCATGTAATGCAATAGGAACTATTGTAATCACTTTTCACTGTTTTCCCTTTGTGTAGTGTGTGCGTGCATGTGTGTTTGTAGACATTTATGCAAATGTGCATGCATAAAAAAAAAGTTTTCCAACATTTTGTTTTTCCTCGCAAATGGGAATGCAAAGTTCGATGTGAAGTTTCTGCAGTGTTCAGTCAGGGCTCACACTAACCGATCAGCAAGTCGGCGTGGATGAAACTATTTTTGTTTTGCAGCAAAAACTGCTATAGGCTTAGGCATTTTGAAGAAGGCCTAAAATAAAAAAAAGTTTTAATACTTACTGAAATACATTGTTTTTTCATTTAGATCTACTGTACATTTTTTGCTACCTCCATGCTACGTTTTTTCTGTTGTATGAGTAGTCATATGAAGGTACTATATCTCCGACAGTTGGCTATGCAACAGTGTACCCTTTGAATGCAAACTGAAGACAAGTGAAGATATAAAGGCAGCCGACTGTCGTGTACATAACAACTATCTAGCTTAGGCTTTCCACAAAAACATTAGGCCTAGTTTAGTACAGTAGTTACTGGGATGCGAGGGTGGAAGATCGTTTAATCAATGATATTGTGCTATTGTCTAATACGTAAAATACATTTAAATAATGTGTGTAAAATTTAAGAATGCACAGCGTGGGTCGCTTTCTTTGTTATGCGGTAGTTTACGTAGCAGAGTGACGGCAGCAAGGCTAGGCCTGGCCTAGATCATGTAGGTTCTTGATCATCAAGATGAAAACTTCGGGTGACAGACTATTGGGCCCAACTGGTGTGGACGATTGGGCCCAAGCTATTTTTAATTGTAGTCTAGTAGGCCACTGCCAGCTCCCCCACTCCCGATATCGTTCCAAACTACTGTAAATGAAAATAGTGTATACCTAGCTACAAAATTTGTTCAAAGAAATTTGCTAAAAATATTACTGTAATTTGCCTATCAAATTACATTACAAATGTGGTCTAAAATCACTATTGTGGGCCATAAAGACTCCCCCTGAAATTTTCAACCACCACACAAATTTGACCCAACCATATTTTCTGATTATGTCATTTATGATGACTTATGGTTGGTTAAGCCATGTATCATGCATAGGAACGTTGATGCCTGCAAGGATCTGGTTTGAATGATGTTTTATTTTTATTTTTGATAAATAAATGAAATATATAAAAATTGGTGTGTAATTTTATGAACATGTGTACTTATATATCTAACAGGACATCTCCAAAGCCGTGTGGTATATTATCTAATGAATATTCATATCATGCCAAGGACAATCTACCTCACAAGGGTAAGAAAACCATGTTTTCTTTAGATATATTTTGACCAAGATAATTGGTAACTTTTCTCAGGTTAGATTGAACTGGAGGGGCACTGTTTAACATGATGCTCTAAATAATAAGTGCAACACGTCATGGTGTTGTACCCTAGACATAATAGGTGTTAGCAGAGAGAAAGACCTTAATTTTTGCATATTTATTATCAAGAAAACGATTTTGTCCATGGCCAGGCCTTAAGCCTGTAGGTTCACTATTTTTGGTATCTCCTGGTTCTGGTATAGGCTCGCATCTCATTTATATTAGAGGCTTAGCCCTCCCTTTTCCTTTAATTTTTTACTTGGGATTAGGACCCCACCCTGAAAGTTCTTTCAGCTTTTGGGAGCTCCTAATTTGTAAAATAATGTTTTTGTGTGTTGCATTTGCAAATTGCGCTGGACAGATGAAACAAAAGTATAATGTATTAAGTGATTGCTTTCTTTTTTTAGCATGGAGAGAGCATGTTGAATGTAGAAGGTAAAATTGGAGGAAATTCAGATCTATCGGAGCGAGGAGAATTATACGCTAAAGGGTTAGCTGATTACATGGAGACGCAGAGTATCACAGATTTAAAAGTGTGGACGAGTCGTATGAAACGGACTGCTCAGACAGCAGCAGAGATTAATGCACCAATTGAGCAGTGGAAAGCACTGGATGAACTTGATGCAGTAAGAAAATTTTAATGTATTTCTGATCTTTTATTTCAAAACAGTATCATTTACAAAATGATAAGAAAAAAAAAAGGGAAAAGTACCACAAATCATTTGTGAGAGTTCTAGTCATATATAGGATTGGCTACAGTATTTAGGAAACGCTTTGTTTTGCAGTTTAGTAATTTACTATTTATTTGAACTTCGTAGAGCCAACAGGGATTATGTTTGCAGCGTTCCACTGTTCCGGAACAATACCCTCTGAAGCAGAGGAGTTATATCGATTATGGGGTTACTAAGCTCGAAAGCACACTCAAGAATCTTAGGTCGGATGTTATCCGGGCCTCCTACCTTATGAACATTAACTTAAGTCATAATAAATTTCTCATGGTTTGAATTGATGAGGTGGCACAGGAGAAGGCATGTAAGCTGGTAATTCGTTGATGTTGATATCAATCATCATGCAGCTGGGAAAAGCGAGCAAGATGGGTATTTATGGTATTGGCAGTAACCTGATAATCATCAATATCGATGTTTGGTATTTTATTGGTAACATCCTTAGACGACGCGTTAGCAGCATCCCTCAACTCCCTGTGCCTACGAAAAGGCCTAACTTTACGAGCATGGTAGGAGGCTTTTGAACGATTAATTTCATAAATTACTTTGTTCCTAAGTTTCTTCCTAAGTGGTTTATTACCTTTATTAAAGGCAGATTGTCTAGCTTTAATTAATTTCTAATAGTCATCCATGGTTTGTCGGTAATATGCGACTTAAATGTTTTAACAGGGAAAGAATGTTCAATAGCATTATTAACTAAACCATAAAACAGGTGTCTTGCTCTGGATATGAGGTGTTACATAAACCTCAGCCCATGATTGTTTTTGGGCCCATTAACCAAAATTGCACATACGAGAATCAGGAATGGGTCTGATTGTTTTTGGTACAGGTCCCATTTATTGCTAGTGAAGGTGATAGGAACACACTGCACCCAATAGGAAATGCAAAAACGGGCTTTATAAAAGTCATACATGTTGGTAATAATAACATCTAAAACATTAAGACCTCTAGTGCCCACTTTAACAATTTGCTTTAGGTTATTACCAGAGCAGAGACATTTAAAGTTCAGCTTACGTCTCCACATATGAGGACACCTGCCAAAGGTAGGTTCGTTTGTATAGTCCACACCAGTTTGTAGATGGTTGATCATTTGACCACTAGTGTTTGATGCATGTCCAGATGGAAGATAAACATTCGCCACTACAATATAGTTCTTGGAAGACGTGGATGTTTAATAAGTTACCATACTACTTCTATTGGTTCTGGTACGTCAATCTCATTGGTGATTTGCGCGTTAAGATTATCCTTAATGTAGGTTGAAACTCCACCACCAGGTCTGTCTATTCTAGTATTCCACCAGGTCTGTCTATAATAGTGTAGCGCTCACATGCTCTATCAGGAGTTATCCACGATTCAGCAATACAGAAAACATCAGGTTTTTGTTCATTTAATAAAATGCTAATTTCATCATGTTTATTTAAAACTGATTTCGCGTTCGTCACCCTCAATAGGTAGGAATATGGCGTGTGCATTCTAAGATTACTTTATGCATTTTATTCTGTTCAATATTATTATAAGGTTCATTGTTTGTAAAACTTAGTACTCACTACTCACAGAATATACAAGATTTAATGGCTTTACCAGCTCGGCATCCTCTTCCGGTCTTCGGATATTTTGATATGCCAAGTTGCTTTATATTTTTCCATGTGGCTGCATCAAGCATGCATGATTTCACCTCATTCACTACTGATCTAACACCAATATTTCTGAGCGCAATAGACCGAATTAGCGACGAAAGATGACGTCATCACAATTTGGCCGAGTGTGTATAAAATTGTAAACAAAGCCTAAAAGTCCTATTCTATAACGTTGCGAGTTTTTGTATGGTCCAGGAAAACAAGCAAAAAAACCAAAGTACGCGGGTAAAATAATTTTTAAAACATTGGTAGGTTAAGGAAGGTTCATAGAACCATCAGAAGACGTTTGATTTGATTTTCATGTAAAATTAAGTTAAATATACGTAGAGTTTTTACAGGCTAGGCCTCGGCCCCTGACACTTGTTTTCGTAACATTATGTTCTCGGCATACGTTCACATACCACACCGAACGAAAAAGTTTTCGAAATACGATCATTCAGATTATAAAAAAATGTTCTTGGCATTTATGTATGTATAACATTCTGAGAGGAGCTCAGAGTCCCTATAGGCCTAACTTTATTTCCGTTTTATTAAATTTGTCTCTTATACGATCCCAGGGTCTTCGTGGAAATCCAAAGATTGTCGTATACCTTTTTTAACAGTTGCTTATTCCCAGATCCTTTGGTATGTTGTGCTTCTATCTCCCTTCTTCCCAAACTTCAATTACGCACTCCATGTGCTTCCTCTGTCAGAACAGAACATGTTTTCAGCATTTTGTTTTGTTCCAAAAAATTTAGGCTACAGCATAAATTAATCAAGAGAACAGTAGTACTGCTGTACTATAAGAGCACATAGAGAATATATTTTTAGATTATCACTCTTATGATCTAAAAAAATGAAGGATGGTTTTTTTTTTTAATCGGAACAATAGATTAGGCCTATTCTGCCTTTGTTTTTATCGATGAGGGAGGGGACTGTTAATATTTGGTCTGTAATAGTAAATATTGTATAAAAATAAAATTTTAAAAAATAAAAATAAAATAAAAATTTAAAAAAATTAAATAAAAATAAATATTTTATAGTTTTTTAAAGAAAATGAATTTGAAGTCACAAAATTGCATTGTTATTTTTATGCTGTTGAAATAATTGATGTGGCAAAAAAAAAAATTATTCCCGCGTCAATATTTCCCGAATTTTTTATGCTGACGGGAGTGATAATCTAATAAATTTTTCAGGTCATGTCACTGAAGCCCGCCCAGTTAAAACATTTTATGCTCGGCACACGTTCAGACTTCCATTCCAGAGTCATAGTTCAAAAACATTTTGTTCCGAGAACGTGGTTCACCTGAGTTCTAGCTAGAACATTCTGTGCTCGACATAAATTCCATTAGCATGCATTCAGACTACAAAAAAAGAACATTTTGTGCTGAGAACATGCACCGAGAACACAGTCTGAATGCTGTATTGCACAGGCAGACACGATTAATGTACGTTTTATATCAGATATAATAAGAAATATTTCCTATAAAAAAATTGTCGCAACTGCTGTAGCTTATTCAATTTGTGTAGCTACTTCCAAATTTATCCTATGTGTAAATTTTGTTATCATATTTAAGTTAGCTGTTTCAGTAAATAAATCTGTAACTGTATTTTCCTATAGATCAATAAATATAGCCCCATGCTTATTTAGGCCTAATTTTTTTACTGCAATATGCATAATAAAATAAAATATATGTTCAAATAATATAATGATAAAACGAATATGGTATTATCAAAGGGTGGGTCATCTAAGACTGTGTTTATACTACACTGTTAGGTTGAACAAGGTGTTGTGTCATTGAACACTAATTACTGCTGGAGGCCGATCCACCATTGACACTCAGGCTACGGTCACACTAGAGTTTGAAGCCTGGCTTGACTCACCGCGGGTGAGATTTTCGTAATGTGACCGCATCTGCACCGACTCGCGTCTGGCGTGACCTCGATCTCAATCTACCTATCTCGATCCCTGCTCAGCACCCATATTGACCCTGGCGTGACTGAGATTGACATTTCCTCGTCGGCTGTCGACCAATACCAGTCGATGACGCCGTTTCGTTTAGAAGTTCTTCAATAAAAAACCCGCGAGTTCTTTATGTGTGTTCAATCAAGACGCAATCATTACTTTTCATAAAAGTTAATTCAAATTTTAATTAATAATAATGCGATTGATTTGGAGCGACCAGGAAACTGCTGACCTGGTAGTTTTGTGGGGCCAACCCGAGCTGAGAGACCGTATAGAAAATAAAAAAACAAACAACAAAACGGGAATTTTTGGCGTGCTTGCTGACAGATTAGCCAGTCTCGGACATGAGAAGAGAATGACGGCCCAAATTCAAACATAAGTAAAGGCATTGCGAGTCCAATACAAGCTGATAAAAGATCAGTTGAAGAGGAGTGGTTGGGGCACGTCTGGTGTAAAATCTTTGATTGCGATCCACCCAATCACACGTACGTATATCAAATCCCGTGAAACAGAGTTGGCCAAACTCTCTCTTTACGGCTCTGCTGTTTCGACTTTTTTTTTTGATTTGGAGGTCAATCCAACTAGTGTGACCGACCCAGAATTTCGAGCCTGGCTTGAAATCTCACCCGTGTTGAGTCAAGCCAGGCTTGAGACGCTAGTGTGACCGTAGCCTCATTTATACTTGTAATTTTGAAACCCTGTTACAGCAAAAAACATTGCATTGTGGGACGTGTTTTCAAATCAACAATTTGTTTTTATCCCCAAATGCTGAAGAGTGCACCTTAACTGTACTTTCGGTCCAGCCCATTGTTTTGTAAACATTACAGTAGGCCTATCCCTCAGCGGTCTCCCACTAGAACAGTGAAAGTTAATAAACTCTACTTTAATTTGCCTTTTGTTAACAATAGAGCTGCAATTTACAAACGAATATTATAATCTGACAAAATTTCAAGATTACTCTCTTAGGTTTAACTTTAACATCTTAATCAATTGATGATATTCTGCATAATATAAGGCTTCAATAAACTATGCAGAAGTTTTTCACTGATAAACTGTACTCTTCTTGGTGACCTCGACTTGGCCAGTGATTAATTACCACTTGATATTGCCTGCAGGCACAAGTAGGAATCCCAATCCACCAAATTTGGGGATTATTTGAAGTAGCCTTTTTCCCAGGTGTTTGTAATCACACGGAATCCATATTGCGTTTATACAACACACATCTTTGCTAAGCAATGTTAAAGTGTGTTGTATAAACGGGCAAGATTCTTCCTGGGGCTAGGTTTGACTGATTTGTAATCCCATATGGTAGATTAATTAAGCTGCCACTCAAGGCTCGACCATGTTGATAACCTTCAGGGGCTTCATCATCAGCTATTGTCTGTCCACTGCTGGACAACTGTTTCAGCATGGAGGTATGGTTTCAGAATATTGATGCCAAATAAATCTTTTTTTCTTGCTGTGTGGCACCATTTCACTCTTACCCAATAAATATCGATCTCATCTCTTAATCTTTCACATTGTTTTTCCTTGTTCATTTTGCCATCTATGAGGTCTGTTTCTGTTTGTATTTGTTTGTACTCCTACTGACTACAAGTTCAACAACCAGAATGAAAACCACTGAGCCAAACCGCATTTTTACCATTGTTATTAATAATAATAATAATAATATTAATTTTAGTATTATTTTATATATTTGTATTCATTCCCCTCCCCCACTAGCTTGGCTAGGCTTTTCTACTACTGCTGCCAGTGTGTGGCTATTTTTTATGGGTCGATAAAACAAGGGTACCGTACGATAATAGTTCGATAATAGTTAGCCAACCCAGGGAGTTCCCTGGCCAACCCTAACCCTCTTCAGCGTAAAGCACCATATTTTTTTACATTAAATGTGGAATAACCTGGCTCTACTACTGTACTTGGCTGGTAATAGGCCCTAGGTTGTGTCGTCAGTTTCTGTGGTTATTTTGTATGGGATTGTCAATGCATAGGTCTACGTACGACGATAGAGCCTAATATACATTTTTTTGCGATAATTTAATTACAATTAACCCTGACAACACTGATGAACTGGCTGTAAAGAAAGTCAAGATAGATGCTTTCGACCAGCTCAAGTTCTCATTATTTCCATCCATATAACATGTAGTTTTCCCGTTTTTTATTTCATACCCTCTTCGCAGCCGCTGTTTGGTTCCTAAGATGATTTTTCGGTATATCAAACCCTCTTCGCAGCCACTATTTGGTTCCCGAGACATCTTAACAGCCGCTATTTGGTTCCTGAGACGTCTTTTTGGTAACTGCGCATGCTCGACATGGTTCGATAACGTTACTCAATGCATGTGCTCACTGGCTGTCTAGCATTTCCAAGCGCATGCTCACTATGTTTTTATAGATAATTTACGGACGCTATTTGGTAACTGCACATGCGCATTGCTTAGTTCGGAATTCCCATTTCTTTCGTAGTGAATGCTACCGCAACCTAGAGTTTCTTAATGACTATTTCCTCTTGATCGTTACAGCTTAAATGTGCGGCGCGAAAATTGATTACTTTCACAAGATTAATACATCAAAAAGTTCAATTAACATCAAAAAGTAGGCCTTACAAAATCAGATCAAAAATTTGTACAAGTAACGTAAGATAGACAAATCAGGAAACAAGAAACAAAGAAAAAGATAAGGAGACGATTGGGGACTAAGGAGCTGATTAAAGGTACAATACATATGTCCATATGTCCATATGTTTACATTTACACAAACTAAAACGTACGCAACACAACCCAACAACCCTCTCTCCACCTAAGTAAAAAAACGCACAAACACCCTGACTCAACCTGCAACATTCAGCTTAAACTTAAACACACAGTACACATATGGGCCCTGGAAGGTAAATTTCAATACAAGTAGAAGAGGGAATACGCAATCTTAGGTGTATATTACACTAATTCACATTCAAGTATTATTAAGTAATTTCGTCATGGATAGGAGTGGGCTATTTTTTAATCTATTAGTTTTGTATTTGTATTTCTGAAATATGTGTGTATTGTGTAGGCTCATATTATGCGATGTATTGTTAAGAGGAAACCAGTATTTAAATCTTTGATGCCTTGTTAGCAAATTTGGTACATTGTAATTCTCTTCGAAGAGAGAAGGGTTCCAGGCCCAGCTCGGTCAGGGCATTGTTAATCAGGAAAAACTAGGAAAATCAAAACAGCAATAATTGTTCCTTGGTGCATGGAGGTATAATACCTCCATGCTTGGTGTACCCCACCAGTGAGCACGGTCCAGTTGGATACCATATCTTTGTATTTTACTCTTTGCCTACTATACATAAAAATGTCAGTTATCCAATGTAAAGCAAGATCAAATAATTTTAGGATAGCAATACAATGGTCAACCAGATCAAAGGCCTTGCTAAAATCTGTCAGTGCAAGAGTAGATACATTATTAGGCTTTTCAGAATTAGTTACAAAGGAGTGATATATGTCAATAAGACAATGCGTTGTCAATACCCCCAGTTGGTTGCCATACTATCTACGGTCAAGTTTGGGCTTGATTACATCAAGTACAAATTTAGTGATTTTATGCTCGGCTATTTTAGGTAGAGTTGATGTTAAAGAGATTGATCTTACCATGGAGGTATTATTGAGAAGGAGATCACTCGAAAAAGCTATGGGCACGCAGCGCTATGCAAACGAACCAAGATCAAAGCTGCCGCAGCGCGTGAAGAACGTTTGCGCGATGCCTTTGAAGTCCAAATGGAGAGCACCTTCTTTTCTCGATGCGCACTACATACAGTCAATCACTATGGTGCGCAATCGTTTCCATTGTGAAGCTGATACATTTATCTCTCATAAAATATCAAACATATTAATATTTTCCACCAAAAAAAGTTTTGAATTTAATGGAACATTTACATGACCTTTAAAATTATAGTATATTTCAACTTCAATTTTCATAAATTAGCCAAAATTTGCTAATTCTAATTTTAACAGATATTAATTAATAAATGATTGAGGATTATAATAAACTAAGTCATTTTAGGGTTAACGAGGGTTAACTATTCGAAAAATCAATCCAAAATCTGAGTATTTTTCAGTTTTACGCTGACTTAGCCTTATAGTCGAACCAATCGATCTTTAGACAAAATTATAATGAACACAGAAGTAATTTTAAAATAAATACAGTATTTTACGGAATCCGTTCCTGAAATATACAAATACTAACATACCAAAAGTCCATAAAAATCTAATCAGGGGAACATTGTTCATTATAAAGATATTTAATGGGTTAAAATCAAACGCTTTATTGCACAACTGCTCTGTTGGAAGCGTATAAATGCATGTCGCTGCCAAGTTGTTTCGAACGAAAAAATGTGAATTATACTAGGCTAATACGCCCGCGCGCGATCCAAAGGTGGGGAACACATGGGTTTGTCGCGTCAAAGGGATCTGTTGCCGAGTGATCTCAATAATACCTCCATGATCTTACTGTGGTTTATCAATAGTGGGAGGAACAGTTTTGGCACAGGAACAACGGTTGCTGCCTTCCATTGTGAGGGTACTTTACCCTGTGAAAATGAGGCATTTATTAGGTCAGTGATTGGACGACTAAATTTATAAGCACACTCTTTGAGCAGTTTTTGGAGGATACCATCAGGACCTCCAGATTTGGCTACAGAGATTTTTTTAGGTCATTATAGATCCCTTGGCTCAAATATAGGGGGTGGCACAGGGCTGGGTAGGAATGCAGGGAGGTTATTTGGTGAGGTAGGAGGCTGTTTTTGTGAAAAACTGGCCAGGTGCTTATTAATTTCATTAGCAGTTGAGGTATGGTCTTCTATTTCGATTCCAGGGACGGTAATTGTTGAGGAGGGGGAATTCATGTATGCAAGTTTGCGCACTTCACTGTGCCACCTCCTTGGATGCATGGCCCTCAGTCCCCCGACTTTGTGTTCATTATAGCGAGAATTTTATTTACCTTATAACGCAGTTTCTTAATTGTTTCCTTTTCCGTCACCCTTAGCAAAGGCTCTTTGTCGTAGCTTGATCAGTTTTATAATCTTAGAATTCATCCAGGGCTTGTCATTGGGATGAAGTTTATAATTTTTAATAGGGAAGAATTTATTTACAGCATTATCAGCAACATAAATATAAATAATTATAAAAAATACTGAAAGAAATAAAAAAAAGTAATAGTAGCAGGTGTGGACCTGCTTACCATCACATATTAATGTGGTGGTATTTCCTACCAACAGGGAGTTGCTGTTTATAATTTCAGAAATATTATGTTTAAATTTTGTATAAGATTATTTTTAATTAAAGTCAGACAACATAGAAAATTAAGATAATGTGACTGAAATGCACTAGTTTTCATCAGTGCTGTTTATTTGTTGTTCATGGTCAATTTTACCATTTTACCAAAACATATTTAAAAAAAAAAACTTTAAAAAAAAACTCATTCCGCATTAGATTTTTTAATCACACTAACTAAACCAATTATATTACTCCAAGATTGGATTAAGATCTTAAAGAAATGCTTTTCTAGGGTGTCTGTGATGGAATGTCCTATGAACAAATCCAGGCTGAGTATCCTGAAGAATTTGCCCTGAGGGATCAAGACAAGTACCACTACCGTTACCCAATGGGAGAGGTGAGCTATACCTGTAACATGATCTATTATGCAATTTACTAGTCATAAAATGTAGGTATGTAGTAAATATATTATCTAATAAAAGTAAATTTGCCGATTTGCTACTTGTCTAAACTGGTGATGGTGCAAAAAGAGGGTGAGGAGGCAAGAGTTTAAGCCTCTGTTGGACAGGATGGAAACAAAATGTGTTCGTTTATGAATTGTTTACGCATCTGTGTATTATAAATGTTTTAGTACAGCCGAAAATGCCCAGTATTTATAGATTTATAGGCATTAACAAGCTTAGTCCATCTGGACCCCTAATAATAGTCAGAAATATCAGACCCCCTTTTGCCACCACTGATGTACATCTCCATTTATACCTAATTATCCAGTTACATGTACGATTGATGTGTAATCGTCACATTATTATCCAATTATCTAGTCATATCAAGATCTTGTTGCACGATTGGAACCGGTTATTATGGTAAGTTCTTGGTAATTTTTATGTGTCTGTTATAATTATGAATGTAATTTCTTAAAGTTTAAAAATAAAAGGAAAAAAAGCCCTATGGTGTTTTTTTTTAAATCTGTGAATATTTTTTTTTAATTGGTATGGTATAAGAGCAGCTAGCACAGTCAACCACACTGGTGGTAGTCACTGTATGTGTGCTGATCTGTTGAGATATCTTGGTCCCTGGTTCAATTCCCATCACTGCTCTTCTTGTGTTTCATCTGGAGGGCTGAAATGCAAAAGCATCCCGTCTTTTGGATGAGACGTTTAAGCCGTTCCTGTGTGCAAAATGGCTCATGTACACATTAAAGAATGCATTACACTCTTTGGAAAAGATGAGGGGATTAATTCTCACAGTTTACTGCCTAATTCTCCACCAGAAGGGCCCCACTGAAAATATGCCTCAAGACTTTCATGGGTTGTCTTTGGTGTGTATCACACCGAAAAAATCCAATGTAATATAAATTTCTGATATTATTGTTGTTTTTGCTATTGCTGTTGATGTTGCTATTGTTATTGTTACTATTATTTGTACTATTGTTACTATTATTTCTATTTTTAATATTAATTTCAATTATTTGTATTATTACTACTGTTACTATTGTAATACTGTTACTATTATAATTCAGCGTAATGTCATCGCTTTCATTTGCACTTAATTTCCTTATCCCCGACTGATCACTCTATCGATATAGTGCCTCCGATTTTTTTGCATCTTTTGTGTGCAAATTCCAAGCTGAGGTGATTTGATTACAGTACATCGCGATAGAATATTATTTCATTGCTAGGCCAACAAACACACTTTGCTCTACTGCACTGGTTAACACGAATGAAGCATAGACCATCCTGTTAAAGGCCTAGAAAGGCAGAATTGTTTTGAGATAATAAGGTGATTGACTTATAAAAGAACTAAAAAAAAATTTTTTTAAATGCTGAAATAATTCATAATTACATTTTAATCTATTAAACAAAGGCCTACCTAATAACCCAATAAACTGTATTAACCACTTTTTTCATCATCTTCATATCGCAAAGAGCTGCAAAAAAGTGTCAGTGCGTGTACTACTAACAAATCATTCTGATAGTAAATACGCGCAGCTAATGCACACGCACAGTCATCATCAAGCAACTGCCACTGCAAACAGCAGTTTGATTTATGAGTATATAGCAATCGCTCTACAAGCAGTTTGATTAAAGGGCCATATAAAAAAAATGGTGATGGACGTCACAACTTACTTATAAAGTAATTATAGTCAAGTAATTTCGTACACTTTAGTGTAAAGGCCTTAATTAAGAGCCATTATTTCCTTCAAAATTTGCCTTCAGCTCTGCAGGCTACAGGCAATGTTTCAGGATTACGGCTCCTTCGGCATCTATCCCTATTATGTACTCAAAATCTGACTATAGCTGCTTATTATTACTATTATACTGCGTCCTCTCTCGGTTTCGAATCAATTCACGTTTCCCCAGCTGCTTGGCGGCTCACCAATTTTCAAAACTAAAAATAACCAACTCCTGCCTCCTGTGACCTTCGACCCCTTTTTCAAACTGCACGGCGGCAAAACATGTGAAAGTTTTTTGTTTGAACAAAAAGTTAGATTATTTGATTCATAGTGGTAAATATAGGTTGGGTTATGTTTTCAGATAAGGAAGATAGGAACCCGCTCCACAGCGGAGTTGGGACAATGTGCTGTCGATCGAGAAGATGAGATTGACCAGCATTCTAGTGATAGGCCTATGCCTATTCATGGCGAGACTTTCACTACAGACGATTGTCTAGAAATGCCTGACGAGCGCTGACATTCGGTTTCGGCGTGCAATAAGGTTGATTCTTCACGCCTTCCTAATACGAGTCCTGAAGGGGATATTGTAGGGTCATGCCTCCATTCTTTGGGTCATGAAGTCGAGAAGGAAGCAAGAGGTTACTATGGTGGTCAATCTGAAAGACCAGAGCATAGGCCTTGAGATGATTTTCGTGATAAATGACAGAAAAGTAGCTCAGCTAGAGCTGGTCCTCCTTGTTTTTCAACCAAACAAATGGCTATACTGACAGAAATGCAGACAAGCCAAATGAATACTTTCAAGTCCTTGCTACAAGAGACAGTGAAAGGTTGAAGTGACAATGACATACATAGGTCATGCCCACGGTCAAGACAGGCCTTCTCGAAAACGGCGTTTTTGAGATGATAGTAGTAGTAGCTTAAGTAAAGAGAGCTATGGACGATTCCGATCTAGGTCTCCCTCTGAATCAAGACCCAGGCAGACATGCTTTCTGTAAAGGTAGATGGGGTGTCTGAAATAGGCTAACAGCCCCATACAAAACGAAGATGAGAGCATAGCTATGAGCTTAAAAAATCCTCATGAGGATTAAAAGGTATCCTCCTCCATGCAACCATCCTCGAATTGTGGTGACAGCAGCGGAGTCACCTCTAAGGTCAGTCCAAAAAAAGACGAGCAACTGGAAGGATTGAAAGCAGATCCTTCAGTGGAAGAATTTTTCAAGGCACCGGATATGCCAAAACCTGTCAGGTCTTCAATGAAAAAGTCGAATTATGAGGCTTGGAATAGTGATAACTTTCTTTGGTCAATCCAAGAAGACCTTCTGAGGGCAGCCCTGCCATTACTTAAGGCCATAGAGCTTAGTAAAGGATCATTGAGACTGTAGTCCGTCAACACTTGACAACAGTCAAAAGTTTGTTAGGATCAACAATACAGAGAATGTCAGTTTATCGACAACATCTCTGCCTTTCATAAAGGAAGGCTACCTGGGGGATGTGTCCCCATCAATGTCCTCCCTTTTTGGTGATGAGTGGGCACAGAAAGTTGAGGTGATAAGAAGCCATGGTTGAAAGACAAGTTGCCAGTAAAAATATTTGGAAGAAATCAGTACCAACCATATAAAAAGCACAGTCAAGGTTCCTACTCCTCCTATGGTCAGGATTATTTTCGCAACGAAAAGAATAACAGTAATTTCCAGGCAAAAACGGGACAACATTAGGTCCAAGAGGGACCAATTCGGAAAATTGTTATGGGAATCATTATGCAGGAAATATTCAATATCATAACGGCATGGAAAAATTTAACACAGGACCCCTGGATTTTGCAAATGGTCAAAGGTTACAAGATCAATTTTATTCAACAACCAATTCAAAAGAAACCTCCAAATCAAATTGTAATGAACAAGGAGCAGCATCAGGCATGCTCTCAAGAAATCCAAAATATGTTAAGGAAAGGGGCCATTAGTTTATTTCAGGAGCTAGGCCTGCTGGTAAATTGGGAAAAGTCTCAGCTGATTCCAACACAAAAAATCAGATTCCTAGGCCACATAGTCAACTCTCAAACAATGGAATTATGTCTTCCGGAGGAAGTAGAAAAATTACAAGCGTTGTGCCACAAGTTCTTAAACAATCCTGTTCTTTCAACAAAATCATTGGCAAGTCTTTATGGTAAAATGACTGCCACAGCAGAAGATGTAGTGCATGTGCCAGTGTTTTGCAGGGCACTACAGATATATTTAATTCAGGAAATTCGGGTAAATCCTTCATATCAGAGTGCAGTGGTATTGTCCGAAGAAGTACCCAAGAGTTAAAATGGTGGGCTCATTTACATCAATTGAATGGGAAACCGATTGTGTTACCTCACCCCCAGATCCAGGGGCTATAGTGATCGCTGCATTCTCGATTGCATGGACAAAAGAACAAAGTTACGTGTTTCCGCCCTTTTGTCTTTTGGCACAAGTGTTAAAGAAGTTGCAGGTGGACAAAGGAGAAGCTCTAGTGGTCGCTCCAACATGGATGAATCAAGTTTGGTACCCGATGCTAGTTCAAATGGCCATAGCACAACCACAATTACTACCTCTAGGACGGCAGATATTAACACAGCCACATTCGAATCAGGCCCATCCGTTAACCGGGACACTACATTTAGCGGCCTGGCTTGTCTCAGGCAATATTATGCGAGTAAGGGGTTTTCACAAGAAGTTGCAGATGTCATGGTGGACAGCTGTAGAGGAGCCACCCATAACCAATACCAGTCTGCCTGGAATAAGTGGAGTGGCTGGTGTAATCAACAAAAATTTCTCCGGTTTCAGCACCTTTGAGTTTTATTTTAGATTTTTTAGTTGCGTGTGAAAAGCAAGGTCAGAGCTACAGAACTATTAGTGTATACAGGTCTGCCATTTCACGTTATCATGAACCAATTCATAATTGTGCAATTGGTCAAAATGCTGATGTATGTTGTTTAATGAAAGGGTTTTGTAATCGGAACCCCCCTAAGCCTAATATTTAGTTACTGTACATGGGAAATTGAACCAGTACTCCATGGCTTTTCTTATAATTCTACCAAATTGGGAATCTCTCTCATTAAAAATGTTGACGCTAAAGATGGTTTTATTGCTCAGCATAATTACAGTAGTTAGAGTGTCATCATTAGTGCATATAGATATATCATGTCTTATTTCAGAAAATTCTTTGAAATTTATACCCTCTAAACTGGCTAAGCAGAGTAGGCCTAATTATAACATGCTGTAAGGTGGTAAGGTTGTGATAGAAGCGTTTGAGGATAAACGTCAGTGCCCAGTTACTGTGGTGACAAGGTATTTAGAATGTACTAGGGTCATCCGAGGAACAGAGAATCAACTTTTAGTGAGTTATTTAAAACCGCACAAGAAGGTGGTTTCATCTACTGTCAGTAGATGGATTTGTGATATGTTAGTCAAGCAGGAGTGGATACACAACAGTTTAAAGCTCATTCTACACATGGTGCAGCAGCATCAGCTTCACAGAGGCTGGGGGTAATGATGCGAGATATTATTGAGGCTGAAGGATGGTCATCTCAATCGACTTTTAGTAAATTTTATCACAGACTATCGGCGAGTTCAGTTTTAGGTAAAACCTTATTGAAGTCAGCTTCAAAATCGCGAATTGATTCAAAACGGAGAGAGGACGCAGTATAATTAATGACTATGCAAAGGTACACTTACCTGCAGTATCGTGATTATACAAGTCCTCTTGAGGTGAGAATCAATTCCCACCCACTCATCTGATCTTTAGATGGTTGTTCCTAGTTCCCATGGTTCTCCCCCAGGTTTTTTTTGGTGTCTATTGGTGTTTCGATTTGGTCTTATATGATCAAAGTTGTATGTTTGTTTTTGGTAGTTAGCCAAATTACAACTTTTGATGTTTTGGTCTTTTAACTGCAGTTTTATATATAAAATCAATGAATAATTAATAAATATGTTGAGTTATAGTTTGTTACTGTTTAGAACAGTTTGGATTTTTAGTGATATTTTCTGAGTGTTATGTTACATGTGCATATTGTATGTTACCACTGATTATTGTAGCTCGAGTTCATAATATTATTAATAACATGTCCCACCCTGGAAAGTATCATACGGGTGGATTCAATGGTATTTCAGCCCAACCCAGATATATAGTACTTTGAAAGGAGGTCGAAGGTTACAGGAGGCAGGGGTTGGTTATTTTTAGTTATTAAAACCGGTGAGCCGCCAAGCAGCTGGGAAACGCGAATTGATTCTCACCTCAAGAGGACTTGTATAATGACGATTATACTGCAGGTAAGTGTACCTTGCATAATCATTAATTATTTCTATTATTACTACTGTTAATTTTACTACTACTATTATAACAAGCAACAAATGATTTGATTGAATGTATTTTTTGTTCATAGCCAATACAATTACGTGTACATAATGCACATACATGTTCCATACACATATACATACTGTACGTATAATATTAATAATACGTATTACATATTACATAATATAGTACACGTTACATACGGTATTACGTTTGTAATACATACGTTTTCCATTTTACCCTTTTTCATATTTGTAATTTAATCTCTGACAAGCAAAGCTATAATTTCAAGCCATTTTATGAGTTTGACCAATACATTGAACTGAATTGAATTGAACAATTATAATTTGATTATCACATATATACACAATAAAAATTGATGTCCACTGTTATTGTAATTTTATAGAAATATTTGTTAATAAAGCACATTATGAGTAATTGCACGTTAACTTGTACTCTTGACAGGAACTTGAACGTCAGAAGAATGTGCTAGTCGTTTGCCATCAGGGTGTCATGAGGTGCTTACTAGCTTACTTTCTTGACAAAAATTCAAGTATGTACTTAACCTTTAATGAATTTATAAGTGTTTTCTGCTTACTGAAGGGTTCTAGTGTAATAAATAAGCTAAGGGTTTATGCATTCACAAATCAGTTTCACGCAAACCTAAAAACCTAAAATATGTTATAACACACCTTGTGTAACACAAAATATATGTGTGTG